ATTTATTACCGTTATTATCATTATATTGTCACGTGATTTGTTTTACCTTATGTGTAATGTCTTAAGTATCTTTATTGTAATTTGTATATACCAAATTCGTATATACCGAGGAAACGACCCCGATTGAAGGTCATGTATTTTATGACGTCACCAATTCGTGTGTAGGTACTGCTTCTAGATCTGTGCCGTTGGTGCGGCTGTGGTCGCGAATGTCGTACTTTGTGGTGGAAGGGTACTTGAGGTGATTCCGGGTAAATGGATTTTGGAATCAAGCGTAGCATCTGTGCTAGAACCCAATGTCAGTACAAACCCGACAACGGTTAAAAGGTACTGCATGGTCCTTGAAATTCAGAGAAACACGAAATAGACACGACGTTTGCAACAGACTGTCGTACTCACACTGCACTGTGAAAATGGGCACAGGCAGAGCTTGACACGTGGGGTGCTCGTGGATGACAGGTGCTTTGTTAGTTATTTTTCACATTCCTCGAGTTTCGCTTATGGCAATGTAATTTAGACAATTTTGTACTACGACAAAAAATAATAAAGCATGATGACTTATAAAGCATAATGACTTATTAAATACAATTTAGGTAAATGTTGGGTTACCACGACAAGTCTGGTCTGCACATAATTTACATAAACACAAACAATATATGTAATAAGTTGTCATACGTTCGTGAATACTAATTCGAAGGAATAACTTGATTGGTAAACCTTATTTGTTGGCAATGAACCAATCAAATCTTCGATAGCTTATGTGGCAAATGTCGTGAGTTCATACCTCACCGCAGATGGTTCGACACTTCTCAAGTTATGTGCGATCTTCTATAGAGGATATCTCCAAGAGACAAGTCTGGGTTTATCGAAATTATGCTACCCATTACCTCGTGTTCATTTTTTCGGTGTGATGCTTACTAACAGTTTTACATATATGAGGAGGTAAATCATTGTATGTGTTTTGGTTACAATCTGTTGCCCCCAGTAACGACGACATTTACCCGAACTATATGGTATATGTCCGTGTTTATGTTCATGTCGGTTATCTGTGTTATGCTGCGAAATTTGTAAGTTTTGGAATTTTCTACAAATATCATTGTGATTGTTGCGTTCATATGTTATATAACTCTTTTAGCGTGGATTAACAATGGCAGGAGATCTGAAGAAACGACCAAGATGTACAATAGACACCGGATACATGATCGAACACTTATTGCATTTAATTTCAATTCTGGCATCGGTACCTCCCCGTAGACAATACTTGTTTTAAAAGCCAGAATATTGAACCGGTAAAAGGGAGCGTATCGCCGTATTATTGTTGGAGGCCATAGCGCTGAAAGGAGTAAGGGTGTCACGTGATTTGTAATATTTGGTACTCGTGGTTCGTGGCCGCTATTTGTCACTCACTAAAACGCGTCCATGCAACGAAATGTTTGTTAACTTAATTCGCTATAAGTGAAAATGGATAGAGGGGGTTTAATAATGTTTGCATTTGTAAGAACCAGAACACTATAGACTGGGGCAGGCTGTGTTATGAGATATCGATTATGCTATGGCCGCGATTGGTCACGTGGAGTCTTTACATTATATTAGTCGTTTTACCAATATTACGTAATACTTGCTATATACTTCAATGCTTACACTTGACACTTAACGACTATATGCCTGACTCCGCCACAATTGTTTTAATGAACTCGATTTGATATTTTTCTATGATAAAAAAATATTGTCGATAATATTCTTGACTTACCGTCGGCAGGAGATGCCATTTGGTATGACGTCTACTGATGAAAAAAAAATATTCTTCGACACACCTAGAGATTTTTATTTAATTTCTACCGTTCAAAGACAAATAACATCGTCTCCATGAATTTAACATTGTTTCCACTGATTATAGCACGTGTCTTTACATCTTGCGTTACATCCAAAATAAACACAGATAGTTTAATTTTATTAGGATTCTTTGTCTAGGTTATATTACGGATAGTATAATCACTAATTCTCATGTTCCCTAACCATAATGCCCTTGTTTTTGTCTTGCTTAATTTTTACAAGTGAAAGTACACGTTTGATAGACATTTTATCGCTCGCAAAAATAGTTGTGTCGTCTGCTAGTGATACCATACTTGTTTTGATGAGCTTATGGCTGATATTGTGAAAGGTAACGTTTATTCCTTAGTACGATGTATTGCCGTTGCCGTATTGCCGGTGATTGGCTGAAAGTGGTTGCCGGCGCATTGTACGCAAATAATAGTTGTGGTAATCGGCTGTGTTTTGTATGACATTCAGTTTAAATAGACTAAGTGTTTACTTGTTGTAGGTTATAAATCATATGCCGACTATTGTTCTATTAATTAAAACGAAACAGTGTTTTATTATAATAGCTGTGTGGATGGGATTTCAGATCATTATTCATTATTTTTATTTGGGAACTATATATTTACTTGTGCCGAGAGCACTCCGCAGAGAAGACAAGAAGGCAAGATTGGCAACGCCATGCGGGAGAGTCATAGCCGAAAACTAGATTAAATACCGCGACCCCGGGGGGGGGGGGATTGGCCTTTCAGTTTGGTAGAGGTGTGCGGCCGGACAAAAAAAAACCCAGACCCCATCATAGACCACTTTCGCCTCAAAAACCATACCCCATTATAGACCTAATAGTGAATTTTTATATTCCATCAGAGACCAAATTGTCAGTAAATTTATTTGGCTATAGGTTTAATTGTTGGTGACTTCACTACGCATGCGCTAAGTTCGTACGCACTGAAACGCATTGCATTGTGGGACTCAATAACGGGATGAAATATGGCTGATCGTCGCAGACTTCGGCGATCCGCTACGTGAAAATGTACTAATAAAAACTCAATAAAAGTTCTAAAACTCAAGTAAATACATGGAAATTAAAAAAAAACAGACCCTATCCTCGTCCGACAAAACTGATAGTGAACCAAAAGGCAAGCAAATATATACCCCCATTCTAGACCAAACTGCTAAAAATTACGACCCCAAAGGGCGGCACGTCCCCATAATGTGATTTGCATTAAGTGCCCCCACCCGGGACCGCGACAAATCAAGTCCGGGCGACAACATACGCAGTACACCTGAAGTAATAGCGTTTTCAAGCTCACTTGGAAGAAGTTTCATCCTGTTTAAGAGATAATTAAAAGGAATAGTCATACATCCTGAAGGTAGTAACTGTGTGTACAACTCTCCGTTGGTGAACGCCCCATGATGCATTGCGAGGAGAGCTAAACATGGCCACCTCCATACTATGATAAGGTGTTGTGCGATTGATTGAACTTATTTCGTAAACCATTGAACTGACATCCTGTTCTTCATTAATTGGGGATCACAAGCAACCTATCCTCGCCTAACAACTGACTGCTGTTACCGATGTATGTCAGTGATAAGTATGATTAATGAAAGCTTTTGCGAATATCCGCTAATTCATAGCAACCGAATCAAGTAGAATCGACATATAGATACATGTTAGTAACATTGGCCTATCAACTCTGAATTCAGACAAGTCGTGAACACTGTTAGTCTCCACCGTGAGCTACAATATCCAGTCGGGTGTCGTACATGATTTATGACGTGTGCGTGTTTCTTTGTACAACTACTACGTCATTTTGAACACCAACGCGAAGCGTCGGCGAACCTAATATAACAAGAACACTGACTGAACTCTCTCTGTAATATCCCACCATGCTATTGTAATGAGTTATATATTATTTATTGGTATGATTTTTGTTTTGGATCTCTTGTATAATATTCAAGCTGATCAATATTGCGACCCTAGTCATTGAGCGATTATTGTATTGTTATCACTTTATACCTTAGATAATATTTTTGTAGTGTGTTACCATGGCTGTAGATCTGGGCGATTAATAAGGTTTAGCATTTATTGTAATTATATCACACTGCTAAGTGCGGACCATTTGAACCGGTTTGTATAAATTACATAGGGGTTTGCTCCTCATATTTTGACGCATTGTCATTTGTTGTTACTCTCAAATTACGGGTCAACACGATTTGTATTGATTTTATTCATGCTCTATTTGTAGAGTGTGCGAGCAACCCCTACGTGGTTTGACATCTCGCATGGTCCAACATTGCTATTCCTTACCATTGACTATACCCGATTGTTAGTGCGCCCTCTATTATAATTGAGGAAATATTGTTATTCTCTGCCAGTGTATACTTGGGCAGTGCATTCGTTATTGTGTAAAAGATAATAAATTTGTTGAAGCGATAGATATAACTCTGTCTTGGTTTGTTGCACGTTGTGGTGCTTGTATGTGGGCGAGACCGACTTGGACATACCACTGGTAAATTGTACCCGTGCTAGTCTATTTCGGAGAGACTTTCATTTTGACCCCTCTGTAAACTAGTAACACTAGCAACGTAATTTTTGCTTCATGAATATTTTTCACTATGAAAATTACTATGGCAAGCAGAACCATGACGAAGGAGAGCATTAACTCTGTAACGTAAAAAATAGTTTGAACACCGTCTTTTATATGCGATGCAACTTTTAATACTCGAATATATCGACTTGACTCAATGCCGAAACGAAGTATAAACTGACACGGTTGCAACACCTCATCCATGTAATCCCGATTTACACATTCAAATGTCTTTTCATAATATGTCTGCACCGCCAATATTACGCATTTTTTTGGTGACAAAATAAAAAAAAATCCTGAAACTAGTCCAATAGTATTGCCAATAAAATGTTCCCACATGCAACAAGTTTGAATCATTGTCTGGAGAATGCTTTTGTATTGTAGTCTGTGCATTACAATGCGACTGGACGCCAGTTTAGGTCAACGAAGATTCACAAGGGTCAGCATGCCATATCCAAATTTTCCCATTACTCCAAGCAAGATTGATAGAACATGTCACTAAATGACGAACAAACTGCCAGATAAATTCTCTCCGATAGCACGCCCTCACTCCGCTCCCCGTATATTTGTTAGTTACAGCCAATGGGCATCTTCTAAAATTTGCCTTGTATAATTCAGAGTAAAACGTTTCTATTTACTAAGAATTTCTGTTAGAGTTGTACATTTACCTTCTACTGGTTTCAATATTTTAGTTTTTTTTTCGGCTTTGATTTCTTCTAACCCACGGAAATGCCCAGAACTTCTTTAATCACCATTTTTTGATTTCATTTGTATTCCCTCTGCCACACAATTGTACAAGCTTTCGCTTGATTTACCCATACATTAATGGTGGGTTACTTGTGCTTTTCTATGCAGTTTGCAACTGTTTTACAAGTTTTATTTTGGTTACTAGTAAGTCCTTCCTGCGTTTAGCATCAGTGTATACTTTGGCCTACACAAAGCCTTGTGCACTCTACTTGCATAGACTCGTATATTCAGTAAATTGTCGAATTCCCGAATCCCTGTAGTTTTCCTGCAAAATCATCTTTAAATAGCCATATGGTAAACTTTTAACGCGAGCCCAATATCAGCTCCAGTAGCAAACTGTACCAGGTTAATATGTATATTGCTTTAGAAACTAGTTTCTTTTCCCCCCTCCCAATATCCAGCAAATTGAAAGTGTTATGATCTGCGTGAAGTTAAAATACGTCATTGCCATGTTCTGTACATTGTTCAAACTGCAGTTAGTTTGTACACACGTTCTCATACAAAAGTTTCATTTGTCGACATTAACTACTTAAGATTGTCTTTGACTCGTGCCGTGTGGGGCGTACAAACATACCCGTGCCATTGTACAATCACGATTCTACCCAAGTTGTTAGTGTATATACTGTCGATCTGAAAATAAGGATTCGTATCAAAGCATATAATTCATCACCATTCATGTTCGCACGCAAAATTCCAAGACTTTGATGTTCAAGCCCTTGAAAGGCATCCCTTAGTTTTATTCAGACCAACATTTAATGTGATAATGTTCCGTTTAGTCATTTGCGATTCCTCTTCAGTATATAATTGTTCAGGTCTTATTTATCGCGGTTCCATGAATAGCCTCCTCGAACTCTATTATAGCATTAGAACCAACATTTTTTAACAAATATCGATTCATAAACACGATTTAAATTTCATCTGGTTCTTACACTAACATTGCATGTCGCACAACTTATTTGGTTTATCCTTAGTTACAATAGGAATCACTTCTGCAATGCTCCTCTCCTTCAATGTTTTGTTGCATGCTGCCCGCATTTATGAAACTGACGTTCCACGTGATCCACGAGTTGGGTTTATTTTGTTTCATGTATTCAACGAAGTATACATACATTGACAACGACTTCCTATTACGAGGAATCTTTACGTTCATTAGAACTGTAACTGAGAAACTGCAAGACCAACAGACTGTTCACCAATTTGTAACCCTGTTTGCACAAATTGGCCACGTTTCTTAGGATAAAAAAATCAGTTCTTTTTCACTCAACCATTGAAAAAACCCACTAACTATAAACTTAACTTGTGGGTAGAATGTTTTAAACATTTCACCGAGGTTGGGGTTTATAATTGTATGTACATTTAAGTATCCAGTGTCCAGTGTCCAGTGGGCATGTAGATCATAAAACATTCCTCCCCCCCGCGTCACAAGGAGAAACCCGTTTGTTTGGTTACAGATATGATCAAGTTTACCATGGATAAGGCAATATCGAAAATCAGTCATGGATTCTCAGTAATCAGCAACAATCTAATGTATAGAAGCGGTTTCCAGAAAACCGCAATTTCGGCAATGACCGAATATTTACGACAGATGGTTTCCACATTCAGTGAATTTTTGCTTCAAACATAAACTAGGCCATTATATTTTGGGAATTCGTGATACAGTTGACATAACCATTGCCAAATAGTCATCCTCTAGTAAACTAAAAATTGAAGACCGTGTATAATATACTAATAGCGGTAGTATGCAATTTACATACGAGGCTGACTCCTTAGTACAGAATTGACACGAATCACGGAAACCCATCAAATTCTGAACATGTCGGCACTTCACTTGTGCCCTTAGATTATTGGATTTAAACCACTCTTGGTCAGGACTTGTTGGAGTTACCCAACTCCACTTTGTATCGTTCATGTAGATTTGTAATCTGCTATAGTATGCACGTTCGTGTACAGTGCCGCACACATAACGTCAAGTTTCGCTAGGTGTGAAGGCTGGACATTTTGTAGATGAACGAAATATTTTAATTAAAACAAGTTGCAAAGCCGGGTTTGAACCACGTCCTTTGCATACGTAGTCTGTGCTTACAACCAACTCTATTTGGCCGTAACTGACATAGTAATGGTCTACATCACCGTCACGCGACAACTACAAGTTGCTGACCATAAGTTTGGCAGTTACAACTGAAACTGAATGACTGCGATTAAAATTCAGTGCAATGTAGTGCAAACGTCTTACAAATCAAAATGGTGGACAATGTATACTAAAAGTTGAATACTTGAAAAAAGTGATAGAGTAAATCAAAACTGCATTTATGGAGCTCTTTCATCTGGGAGTAATCATGCCGTCACCATTGACTGTTTAATGATTTATATGGTCGACAGAAATATCAACACTTGTGAACAGTTAATGCTACGAATAAGACTAAGGGGAGGGCGTGAAATTGGAGCGACATCTCTAAAACAAAATCTAGATATTGTTGGTCTCGCAGTGAAAGCCGGGTAATGTATTTGCGACACTGTTCTTCAGCAGTGTAAGAATTCACGCCATGTGTACATTGTAATATGCATGCCACGTCTATGAGTTGCTATCAACTAGGGTTCGTCAAAAACACATCCGCCAGTGGGCAATACTGCACACATAGGATGTAAGCCGTTTTAGAGAACGTCCCACCAAAAGTTAGATCAATCTAGCTTTTGAATCACAGAAGAAGAATTGTGCAAGATGGGTTTAAAATTAGTAATTGGATTTAGGGTACGGGGGGGGGATGAGAGAACAAAGCAGTAGATCCAACATTACCAGTCGAGCATTCGACTTGTATACCAGACAAACCATTAGATGCTTAGATTTGTAGGAGATATAAAACCCAGTTGTGGGTTGGTGTAAATGAAACAGACGTTAAACAAAATAATTTATTACTAGATACATTCAAATAGAATAGAATAGAAAAAATTCTTGACTATTAAATCGTGATCTTGTCAAATTCTTGAAATCAAGCCAAACCTAAAAAAAATGTAAAAAAAAACATTTTATCTCACGTTACCACGCCAGTGATATTAAAGTCATAATTCATTATAGAAATCAACTACATTTTGAAATTTAAATTCTTAATGAAATTTATTACTCGAAAGAACGGAAGCCTGGCGAGAAGCGAGCAACACGTGTTATTGCTGAAATACTTACCACAAATGCCACATAGAATGGGACATTTTTCAGCAACCAAAGCGACTGTCTCACAATATGGCTGGGAGCGACTGGTACACAACATTGATTTCTCTTCACATTGTTCTGTAATTAGTATAATGTATCAGACAGCCGATTATATTAAGGTACATGTATACATTTAGGCTATTCTGACGTACAGTAATTACAAAGGCAGGTGAATTACGTTATCATGTCTAAAGCTAGACTGGGGAACTTTCCTATATGGAGCTTGATACAAGCATAGTAATGTTTATTGATGAAAAGTGAATGCATAGAGTTCAAATATTGAAATTTAAAATACATAGGAAAATAATAGTTTTTTCCAATTTTGAGGGAACAAATTGAGAACCGATTCAACTGAATTGTTTGTCCAATATATCAATACAGAAATCCTAGGCTCGGTAGAACATCGAATATAGTGGTAATTCTCAATATGCACAGAAAAAAAAAACACCACAAACTGAAGAAAATTCACAAAGGCAACAGTACTGTAAACCAATTAACTAATTTTTAGATACGGATTTCAAGGCTGGAATTGATTTGCATTCACATCAGATGTTGCAACAAGATACTGTAAAATGACTAATTTTCACTGGGTTTAAATTTCACTGATTTACCTTTTCAGGCATATTCAGTGGGTTTTAAATTCACGGTTTTATCATTTAGACAATGTGTTCTATGCTAAATTTTACATATTCATTGGGTTTTAATTTAGCGCATTTTTCCAGTCAGCGAAATAAGCTAAATTAAAACCCAGTGAATAATTACCCCCTTTACAGTAGATACAACTAGAGGGCGCTGTTTACTGTTATATAATACAGTCACCACACTATGAATATATTTAACACATACTTGTACACTATACTTGGGCAAAACCAGGCAAGAACGTTAACAATCAAGTTTGAAATGTTACTCAAGTCGTATTGTAAACATTGACAATTATTAATAACGTTTCATCATATACCCTTCCTTTCTATATTTAATGATACAGACAAGGTGAAATGCAAAGCAAAGAACTTACTTTCACATGCCATTCCATGCCAGCCGACAGGACATTCACAAAGACACCTATTTTTATCCAGAGTACCTCCATTCAAGCAGTCAATGCTACATTCTAACGCAAGAGAAATTATAGTATTTGTATTAATCATAACATTCATGACATTGTCACATGACGAATCTGATATTCTATACTACACAAAATGAACAAGTGCATGTTCCATTAAGAAATGAGAGTATTCAGTACATACCAGTGCATGTCCTTCCACGCCATGGGTATTGACAATAACACATGCACATACCAATATCAATATCAAATTCATAACCAGCCACTTTATTCAACATCCCACCATTCCTACACACGGGGAAGTCAAAGCAGCCTGGAATAAAATCGATAAAATACCATCATTACATTTGGCAAAAACTAACTTTCATTTGTCAACCTGAATTAAGAAAACACTTACCGCACTGTTTACAGAATACAGGGCAATAATCCACATCATACATTGGTGTCGGTTCTTTGTACGTGGTCCAGCAATTTGACATATTTGAGACGCATGGCACTGTGAAAACATGTGAGCAGTAAAGCATTATTTCTGAACATTAATAACTAGATGTACTTGACTATGCATGATTATTGAAATGTTTAAACATTAATACTTGCCATCACACGTAGTTCCATCATATCCAGATGAGCAGTGACACTGACAAGTTGTTTTATCTAACACTCCATTACCATTACAATGCGATCCCATGCTACAAACTAATACGGAAGATAATGTTACACTAAATACAACTGTCACTTCTTGTTCTTTGTCAAAGGCTGTATTTATACGATAACGAGAGTGGATATACAAGAAAAAAAAGTCGGTATGAAAAGGAAAACAAGATACACGACAAATTATGAAATCTGCGAGTTAATTGTTACAACTTGCTATAACGCTATTACTCTTTAACTTGACAACCTTTATACGTTATGTTCGTTCTAGAAACATTTATATATTGCCATGCAGGACGTACGTACCAGATCAGTGAAAAATACCTCGACAAAAACTAAAAAGAGCCAGAAAGACTATGAAAACCGGAAAAGACTTAGATTTATTAAATCTGTCTGTGGTATAGAAAATGATTGAAAAGTTTAAACATTCAAACTTGCATCTAGTTGGTAAATACGCATTTAAAATTTAACAGTAGTTAAACCAAACGAGATGTAAATGATATACAATTTGTAAATGGCATTTAGAAAAGTGATTAACAGTATACTACCATCGGCCTCGCATGTATGACCATCATAGCTCAATATTTGTCCATTTGGGCATTGGCAACTATACGATCCATTTAAATTTACGCAGTCATATTCGCAACCAGCACTATTGTCTGCGCATTCGTCTAGATCTGCAGAAAAAAACCGCAATAATTAACCGTAATTGCATATTATCATAACGAGAATTATACCCCACACAATGTATTATAAATTCCTAATGATAGATAATTATTGAGCTTACCTAAACAAGTAGTTTTATCACCAGCCAATTCAAAACCATCTCGACATGCACACGTGACGTTGTCATTAAACGAGCACACTTGTTCACATCCACCATTGGCAATGCCATCACACGGACTAGCCTTGCTTCTCGACGCTTAAAATAAACATTACCAACATATTTGTGAATGAAAGAACATGGAAACCAAGTTAGAAAACCCCGGATGTAAACAAAAGGATTTAGTTAACAGTAGTCCGCTAGAAATGATACATGTAGGGATAAAGTATTTTGACAAAGGCTGATGTGGAACCTCTGTGTGGTGAGGCAACTATACTATTTGTTGGGCCTGTAAAAGCTGGTTTGTAAAATCAGGTTTCTGGCATGATATTTGGCGCTACTACCACCAGTTTCTGGAAACAAATGCACGAATAGTGTTGAAATGGTCATCAATAGACCATCTTAGAACAGATTGAAATCAAGTCTATGAGTACATGCAAAGGGATGGATGTGGACTAAGCTTTAAATTGTGCTTTGCAACGCCCCCATTTTTGCAGCCATTAAGAATTGACCGATACCCAATATTAGTTTTTAAGTATGTTGACCTTTTGCCTCTTTCAGTCGTGCAAAGTATACTGATTCAGTCATGGTTACGGATTTGCCTCGTTGAATACGAAGTATTTCGGAGTCCCTCCCAAGAATGTGCAATCATTAATTCAATAAGATCCCAATATATACCACAGTTCTTAATAAAAGTAGGGCAATGATTGGGCTCGGCGAAAAATTAGTTACGATATACGACTTACTTATTTCTGGAGCAACTCTTGTACATTCACGTCTATTTCTGGCTAATTGATAACCAATATCACATTCACAGTAATATGATCTATACGTATTAAAACATTTATGACTGCATCCACTAATTCCAGTTTCACACTCATTTAGTTCTGTGCTCAGAGCAAATACAAGAACAGAAAGTACAGAGTCACTATTAATCTTAAATACACCAAATGTTAAAGATCGTCCCTTTAATTTTACAGAACTCGTGCGCTGCAAGAAGTCAACATCCGCTAACGTTTGTTTTTTGTTGCGTTTCGGCGAAATTGTTACCAGTGTCAATATTCAGTTTAGAGACCTCAAGTTATTGGCCTCTGGTACAATAATTTTTATCGGCAAAGTTGTTCAATAATCACAAATATGGTTGAACTATGCAACACAAATGATGAAATCTGAAAGTGAACTATGAAATTGGCTACACGCTTTAAATTTTGACCAACCACAAGATGAAATGTATTATAAACAAATCCTTGGCAGAAATGGACAAGAACTGGCGCATACTCCATATTTGAACTTAATCTTGTTTCAACTAAAGTTTCACTAATCGAGAGATTTTGAAAAAAATGCAACCAAAAACTTACCGATGCACGTGCGTTGGTTGCTATCCAAAGCAAATCCTACTGCACATGTACAAGTATATGTACCATCAAAGTTTTTACATCCATACTCGCAAACCCCGTCAAGCGTTGCACATTCGTCAATGTCTAAAATGATTAGAGAGATTAGAAAAATACTACAATAGTGTAGTGAGTTGATAATACACAGCATATGCATGTAGAAGATACATAATATTAAAGATCTTACCGTAGCACGTGCCATAGGCAAGGAAATATCCCCTTTCACAATCGCATTTACAGTTAAATAGATCAAACACAAGGTTTGAAGGACAGCTTTCAATTTCGCATAAATCTGTTCCATTTACCGCACCTGAATATCAACAAGCACAACACAATGTTCCCTTATTTGCAACATTTGACATTGTTAAAAAACAAAGTTAGTACAACGGCATGTACGCGTTAAGGGAAAGTGCGATTATCTTTTGTATTTGAATATATGCCGATTCATGATGCAACTTACCCCGCTGCGATGGAAACCATTCCCCATCAAACCAAGAACCATCTTCGTCGTGTCCTTCAGCGTCACAGTAATCCCCAACATAACCATAGTCGCACGAACAACTACAATATACCGGATCAACAGTTCCTCTATTGTGACAGTCAGTCTTGCACACACATTCTGGATCGCCGTCAGAATATTCATGACAGAAACCGTCTATTTGATATAACGGAAACGACAAAACAATTATTTATGGAACGCCAGTGAAATATTACAAGTCAGAAACATGACCAATCCATGACCATTTTAGATGTACATAGTAGCATGTAATAATATCGAAAATAAAGTCGCAACTTACCACACAAACCATCATTACACCAGGCGCTACCACTTATACATTGAGAGCATACTCCATCACTGCTCACACTGTAAGGCCGAATGGCATTATTCCTATATTCTCCTCTGTTATGATGAAATAATTTGTAATAATCGAAAAATCAGAGCTGGATATATATTCGAATTCTGACTTGCACGTTACTTTGGGTACCGAGCGTTCTCACAATGCATCTGCGTCAACGTGAACACCACAGAGGGAAAAATAAAGCTGTTGACTTTTCTATCTGTTGATCACCCAAAATCATATAATCAAGGCCACATGCAACTCTTAATGTAGGTTTCTTTACACTGTCTGTATTGCAAAATAGTCTAACGATATACAATTCGATAAATTAGCCGGAAAATAACATTAGCCGTCCTACAAAATCACTTTGACCAGGTAAATAAGTGAAACAATTGTGTGTCCAATATATTATAAAACTAATTACCCTGCCCTTAAAATATTTTGAAAAATTCCAACCGGCCTAGACAAAGTTTCTAATTCGTCACAAAATGAGAACCCCACATCTTTTGTTCGATCACTATATACAACATTCACCCGCGTACAATACAATAGTACATTTTAATAAAAATGGCTGTTCCAAGAAAGAATGTTGCTATTAACTTACACATTTTCGAAATTACATTTCCAGTACACAACATTCTCAACAACAGTTTCTTTGAATGTATCCTGTAGTTTACTGCAATACTGTTGTGCACAGCCAACAGAGAACATAGAATACCACGTCACCTGAAAAACAATCCTAGGTAGTCAGGAAGAACAGCTCTAACAAAAGATAGTGCAATCTGCTCTTATAAATAACTTCACCCGCATGCTTGCGCAATTACAGCCCTTAATACTCTTAATGACCCCCGCCTCCAGAGAAAATAGAATAGTGGGTTTAACTCATCTGTGGTAGGATTCAAAATGACAGCCGAGTATTGGACTGTGTTTAGTGTGAAATCGCCCAGTTATATTTGTAAATGCTGCCGTTATATATAATTACATGTCGAGTTTCCAATACAATATAGATGGGAATAAAATTAAGGATATGAAAAGTTAAAACAAACGATAACACGCTAAAAACGCAAAAGCTCATGGGTAGACTTTGTAAACAATGACGCGCGCTAAGGGCTTCTGATGCATGCGCAGACACCCACGCTTTAAGGCTTAATATTCAACCATCAATATTATTTCGGTCATTTGCTTAGCTTTATATCATTTAAAACTAAACCATCTTTTAGTAGAGCAGGAAGTACATTATTCTGTGAAATTGTTAATGCAATGAAAACCAACTTGCACATTGATATTTTTTATGTAGTTCACCAATTATAGCTGCCAACCGCCCTCATCGACGTTAACTACATCAAGATTGGCTTTTTTAATTATCATTTTTACACGACTTTGGGTTGTTTCGTTAGAAATATTGTACAACTATTTCATCATTTTGTTATAAACTGAAAAATAGGCAGCATGCTCAATTTTAATGCAATTTTGCCATCATTTATTTTTCCGAGGGACTCTTAAAGATGATCAGCACTTAGCATTTCAGGTGAACAAAATATAATATACCCACCATTCTGTAGAGTTTACAGTAAAATGAATGAACTGAGCAGTACATGGTAGTGTAGTCGTAAAATCTGCCGAGATTAAAGAGCCCTTCTATGATCTCAGGTGTTCGTAATTCAGTAGAATGGTAGCCATAATACGGTGTCACCACTAAAGACCGCTCGCTTATCCAAGATGGTTGCGAATTTGCATATAGACAGGTATTCACACTTTCCTGGGCAGCATCCGATAATTCGGTATTCCAAAACTACGGGAAACGAAACGACAGTTTGATACAAGAAACGTCTCAGCCACCATGTCCGTACTGCAGTATTTTATAATATTTGAGACAGTGTGACAGTAGTACCAGTGCGTTCTGGAATACCGTCGATGCGTATTGTAATACAATGCTTTAACTGCAAAACGAGTCGAAATTAAAACCTGTAGTTATTACAAAACGTGAAAATACTGCAGTACACATTCCCATAAACTACACAATCACGACAAAATACCTTGGTACTTTACATGGATTATTAAATTTGTGTCAAGTCATGGCGATTTGCATGGACTTCAATTGAAGACCAGTGTACACATGTGTTACCTGGCTTTATGAACAAGTGTAGCAATGGTCAGCCGATAGTAAATTTCTATGGACTCTGCGACACGCAATGGCACTACACATTACCCACGATTCACCATCATTTGACACACTGCTAAGGCTTTGGCATAATATATTGGGTCCAATTAAATCCCTACGTTGTACGTTTCACTAGTTTTTTTCAAAGGCGCGTTTTACGATGTGACCAGGTTGACAAATTTAGCTCAAAGTCTTGGACAATTTATGGAGATGTTAACAATATTTAGGGAATGTTATCACGAACACGAGTATTTCTCCTTGTCACATGACGGCCTACTTTCATATTATTACATTTTCTCTTATTCAAATATACAACAGGTGCTAGCAATTTTCTAAACGCTTTATGGTTGATAACTAAATGATATTGCTCAGATAAATCAATACTACGAGCAAAGCATCACATTCAGAAAATAAGAATATGTATACGAATGTACGTTCGCAGATGCGTGAAATCCACAGTTCTACCAGTTAGTAGAAATCACTTATATTTGATCAGCAATATTTAGAAAGCAAAACTGTTTAGAAATGTGTTTCATCTCATCGGAGCTAATTAATCTTCCAATGACCCATTAAGACGTTGATTTTGTTATAGAGCACGTGATAATACTAATTTACTCACCACAAAGTTCATGTTACTCGGGGCTGGGGAAACCTTCCTTCTGCCAAAGTTCATTTTCTCTTCAATGACGAGAGCGTCTTGTTCAGTTAGAGTTGATGGAAGAATTTGTGGTTCGGACAGTGGGTCTCCTAGGGAGCTGCTGTTTGGAATATGCAAGGAAAGTTTGGGGTCACCCAATGCATTACTGACCGAGGTGCCACGTTGGATTGCGGCAAATAAAAATATGAAAAAAACTAATATTCCATGGCAAGTCATATCAAACATAGATACAGAAAATGAGTTGTGATATAAACGGAAATAGAAATCCTGTAGTAATGAAATAATAGAGAATAGGTGGTAAACTAATCAAATAATAAGGATAACGAAAATAAAACGAACGCCGCCGCTCCCAACACCACGCTAGCACTATGGATGATCTGCAGTGAAATGAAAGACCGTGGAACCTTTTAGAAGTATGCGTACTTGATTTACATATCAATACTATTTGCGTATTTAGTTAACATCTGCATGGTGGCGATCGGAGTCAGGTATGACATGGTACGATTTACGTATTTAAACAAAGTGGCAGTGACGAGTTTCATTATGGATGTTGTAAGGCAACAATGGATGGATGCAAAGATTAATTCTCAATTATCTTCCATCGACTAGTTTACGCAGCATGTAATCAACGTTTATCGGTGTGCTGTATTAAATGCATACCAATATTTAAACAAATAGTCTCGTCAGGTTTCGCAATGGATTGGAAGTTAAGTCGGATATCAACAGTGGATATTGCCTGAAAAATTCAATTCCTACAGTTTCTATATACTATTACTTGAATAAAATTGCATATTTATTGTCATTGCCTCCGTTTTGCAACAGTGTTATAGGCAGAGATTACTATACTCGACTGGGTTACCATTAATAATTCACTTGAAAAAATGAAGCTGTGCACATGTGTACCGCTGAGAACAATACTCTAGTTTAGTCGAAACATGTATGCAAGGCAGGCATTGATACATCGAAAAAGAACTGGCAACCAAAAAGCTGCTCTCTAATTGGTCTGATTGTCAGTTGTATGGGCTGGGTAGCCAATCAGTTGGAGGTTGGCTTAGTGTTGCCAATAACTTGGAAATTAAATCGTGTAATATTATGCAGCTGCACATTTGAAAGAATGCCGCTCGACTTTAATAGTCTTCTGATTCTCTAAGTGAATATAAATTATAATTTTAAAATCTCCATTGTTCAATGTGAATACAATAAATAAATGGGCATTGGTAACACGATAAAATACGGGGAAATAAAAACAAATAAACGGTGCCATTACTTTGACATTTAAAAGAAAAAAAATATGCAAATGAAGGATCTCCAATCTGACATAATGACACGCTCAACTGACAATTAAATGACATACATATTCATATAAAGCTGTAACACAAATGGAAAACAATCGTCTGACGACCTTGAAAGTGTAATGAATATAGACGTGTGTTATTCCATTACACATATGTATTCCAAATTAAACGTACATTTCATTAAATAAAATAGTTAGTGTAATTGATAAATCATTTTTTGTAAATATCTTTCCGTTCAATCAATTAGGCATTTCCCAATTGGCATAACAAGCAACTGAAGTCAACCTGTCCCGTTGCTTGGATGATTTGTTTGATTGAGACAGTGACTAGCTATGTATGATTGATAATTACGCGGCAAAATTACTTTTGAGGGAGACTTTTTCTCAGTATTATGAGCAGTCGAACTTTTTAAAAATTGATTCACCAGCTTATAAAACGACACCTCATGACGCTGAATAATTTACATCTGCATAAACGTGTTGTTCTAGGTCAACCGTTACCTAAGGCACGTATGGCAGAATGTAATTGTCCCGTGATTCCCATATATGGCATTCAATGTTTATTTTCTGACGTCTTTGATCACAATGACCCGAATCAATATTTATTTTTAATAAACACAATGTATACTCATAGCCATCCAACAATTTAATAATTCCTTCTCAAATATGTTATTACAATTCCATTACTTCGACGCACGTTTTTTGAATAACATGCAATTCTGATTAAACTAGATTATGTATAACTTACAATACGACATAATTCGGGAAAATGTATTTCTTTTTTTCAATGTTTCAATCAATATTTTTTTATAGAGATAAAGGAATTCATATAGCATTGTAGAAAGGCAAAATTAAATTTTACACATATATAATCGATGATGCTGCTACAGTTGTTACATGTAGTACAATCAAATTAAATAAATCTTGATATGCACTCAGTCTGCAATGTGTTCATCACAAAAAATAAACACATTTGTGTAGTTTTATTGACTCGGAAGTAGGTCGCAGTGAATCGATGTCCGAGACTGGTCAAACGATGAGATAAGATGTGTTTTATTTAGAAAGTGGCATTTTAATCTCAAATTACTTTTGTTTACGTAATACACGCGTTGTTGTTTCGGTTCAAGCTTTGATTCTTCGTGTATTATTTGTTTTCCGTAATTGTACATTATATTGCACATGCAAATGACAATATAAATAAAATACTGAAAGAATAGCGAAAGAAATTAAAGTATCAACGTTATCCGTCTTTGTGTAATATACAATTACTACGTGACTCCACTTTGTACAATACTTTTAAAATCTTTCTTGAGTGTAATAATTCAAAACCAGTGTTTTCTATTTCCCATTTATATAAATTGAGAATTTTGGACAATTTAATGGATAATATAGAATAGTTAAAATAAATTCGTATGAAATGTATGTTTTATCACTTGTCCTTTCTACCTAGTTTCATGTGTCAATTAATTTATATGAATCCATTCATTCATTGTCAAATTACGGTTTTGTTTTAACTAACATTCTGAATAAAAAAATCGGTTCACGGTTGTGTGTTTGATGTCAAGACAGTACTACTTCGGGGAAACCTATGTGGAAACAGTTTCGTTACAAATTCCTGACACCCATGAACATTCAAATGCATTCAAATGGGCTTCAATGTCAATGTCCCATTTAATTCGCTTTAGTTATTCACCCCTGGCACGCCGTTCACGGTTTTTTTGTTTCCACTCTACATACAATTCGGAATAATAAATTAGAATAAATGTTTTTGGGATTTCTAATATAAAACAACACAAGCATTCCCTTTTACAATTACTGTCTCAATAGGTGTCCTGCATTCCACACATGCTGTTAGCATTCATTTGCTCCAATCAGGTATAATGGTTATATTTATTATATATTCGTCACATGATCAAATTAATCCAGCTACCTCATTTGTAACTTTCTGTCTTATCACGCTTTATTGAGAAGCTAAGAAATGTCACAGGCCATCTGAATTCTCTTGATTCATATTTTGTATACTGTTATTTTTCGTAATAATACATACAAGAAGGCCGAGAAGGGCATTCTAAACGGAGATTTCGATACTGCTAAAAATACTATCAATGCAATAACTCAATACCAAATGTAATTGTTATCAACGCCTCATTATTCGAAATAAGCAAGTACATATTTTGTAGTTCCTTTGTTTCATTATATTTTATTCGATCTTCGTTAATTATAATGTTTTTAGTAATCGTAATTTGTAGTTAAGAGGATAAACCTTTTCCTGAATCTGTTTCTTTATAATTTACCATTTTCCGCTTTCCATTTTGAAGCTGCGTAGTTATTTCAACTGATAATTTTCATTGAATAAAAGCACTATCTCGTATCTCGTCCTGTGTTAGTTCGCCAGACAAAACTAGATATGCATTATTTGAATAAAAAAGATATACTTGTCAAATACCTATTTGAGATTAAAGGCTATACAAATTTATCTCGACAGATGACGTCATCTAATTCAAATCCAATCGTGCAGTAGCAGTTGCGATTTATGTAACTATACTACTTATTTCCTATACAACTTCAACTATTGTCAGCGGTTCGCAAACACAACTTTACATATGTTGTATTTGATGTAGAATAAATAAAACAAAAAATGCACAATGTTCCAATTTACCGTGAAATTGGCAATGGTTAATTTGGTATATCAATATATTATACATTTTAGCAGCGTATGAACGAATGAGGATAGAATAGAAATGTATTTTCGAATACTAAAAAATAAACTCGCTCTGTGAGCTTTGAGTTGGCAGAATTGTTTGCATCCAGGGCTCATACGGATCACACAATTAATTATAATGCCAACATACTAAATTTATCACGGCGAGAAACATACTACTAAACTATATCTGAATACTAATATTATGAAACCGTTATTAAATTACACGTCTGTCTTAAAGTCAATAATACCTGCTTTACAATGTACAGTCCACAATTAAACGATATTTTGTAGTTTAATTTAAAAAAAGAAATTACTTTCTAATAAGGCATTTAAAGAAAGAAAACGCCGCACCCAATTCCATGTGATGAAATTCAATTTGATTCAACCTCGAGGTTCATAAACTGCACTATAACATAAACACTGACATGCTAGGTTATCATACACACAAATTCACACACTTTTATCAACGTATATTTGATGTAGTACGATATTACTATATTATTAATGCTCACGTTATAATGATAATGGCTGTAATAGAAGTAATACTAGTGTTGGTAGTTTGTATGTCTGCATAACTGTAATGACATGTCTCCAATCGAGCCATAAAATACATATACTCAGTCGAAGTCTGGAGCATACGCATATTAGTTGTATTATTTGAAACATTTCGTTGGAAGCTCGTTTACATTTTACTTGACTTGAACAAAATAAAATTTAAAAGTCACAATATACTGGAGGTATAGTTAAAGTGACCTCCATGATGTGAATGTAATACGTAAAACGATAGTTGTTTCCAACGAGTCTGTATATCAGAGAGATGAAATGGATTCCGAATAACAATTGTTCAAATCTTGATTACACTTTTATTCGGCGGCTCAAATGAACTTTTATTATTATAACACTTAGGCATACACAATAAAGCAATTTCCTATGATAAATAGAAAATAATGATATGGAAATTAAAATTTCTAATTACATCCGTAGATAGAAGGTTGACAGTTTAATAATCGTCGGTGATATTACAACCAGTCTGACTCTGATATCCTCGCTCGAATACACTAAATTTAATCTCCCTATCGTAAACAGATAAACTAAACAAACGTACCGGCGTACGTGTGTATATATTATTCACGTCATGTTGTTAGTAGGCGATAAAATGGACGCTTTATTGTATCATTGAATACCCCCGCCAGCGCTGTTACCATCATTCCCAATTAATGTGCACAGCAGTCCGGCCTATTTATGATAACATTCGCGCATTATAACTAATCAATGCTGATAATTGTCCACGCTATGAGTGAAATTTCATTATAATATAATCTGTCGCACACTGAGCTATAGAATCATGTCAAACTCGGCATATCTGTGGCGTGTAATCTCTCTGATTGGT